GATACGAAGCAATGATTCTGGATATTTTTGCAGGTTAATCGGAATGGAAAATTACTTCTGTATATTGTTTAACAATTAATAAAATAGAAAAATAAAAATAGAAAATCCTAGATTTTACTTCTATTTTTATGCGATAAAAACAAGAAAGAAAAAACATATAATTCTGATGGATGAAATTTTTCTGGAATTAAACTTCAAATATTTATGAAAAATTGAATAACTGAATCATTTTCAGGAAAGTTTTAGCAAAAGCAAATTCAGTTGATGTATTAATTGTGACTGATTGTCGACGACTTTCTGATGTTGAATTTTTTAAGATACATTGTGGTCCTCGTTTAAGGTTATATAATCTTATATAATTATCTATTATTATTTCTCATTAGAATATAATTTATATCATTAATTTATAGTTGAACAAAATGTTATTTTTTTCAGATTAGCTTAATTGGCATTGTTTTCTTTTTTTTTTTTTGATTAATTAGGTTAAATTTATCCTAGAAATTTTCTTTTATTTTTATGCAAGCAAAAAACATTTTTTATAATTCTAATAATTTACAGATTGTTACGTATCGAAACAACTTTACCAGTCCGGGAAATGCGTGGTTTTGTATTTATCAAGGGAATTGATGATCAAATGACTGAGTGTGGTCTCGACGATTATGCTGATTGGGATATTGTAATTACCAATGATGTTCAAATTGTAAATGGAATATTACCAACTAATTTAGAAGAATGCTTAACTGATCTTTCTTTTGAGATTAGTCAATTATTGTTGAGTCGAAAATGATTTCCTGCTTATTGATATCATTTCTGAAGTTTTGAAAAATTAAAAAGTGAAAAAGAGAGAAGTTACATTAAGTACCTTTCATTTATATTTCATATAGATTATTTTTTATTTTTTTGTTAACTTTTAGCATTGCATTAAATGAAACTAGTTGTTATCTAGTCTACATAATATTTCATTGTTGAATTTTTTTTTTTGTTTGATTCGTGAATTATGCTCCATTCTTGATTTGATGTTGTAGATTCTGCTAGGATTGCTATCAAATTCAAATAAAATCTAAACAAGCTATACAATTGAGCTAATGAACTATGAGTGTTATTTACATCATCAAAGATATCACAGAGAAGTTAATGTGTTTTATTTATCGCGATAAAAGCATAAAATCTTCGAATTATTTTTTAGAAAATATATGAATTTCTAAAATCAATAATTCTTTGATGTATTTCAATAGCAGAATAATTTAATTTTTAATTTTTTGGTATTGTATATGTGCGTCAATCAGCAATAAAAATTAGTTTAATTAAAAAAGTGTTTATTCTATCTTTCCTAATTATCTATCAGTTAAGATTAAACTTTCTGCAATATTTCATATTTTTGAATGAAAAGCAAATTCTTTAAATAAAAAAAAAGTATGAAACAGTTGCAGAATGAACACAAAGAAATGTTTTTAAAAATAAGCAAAATAGAAAAATGAAATAGGTCATTAGAAAATATTATGTAATTTCTTGAATGAATTATTAATGAACAATTTATCATTTTTTCAATTCATTTTTTTTTTTAATATTAAATTCTAAAAGAAAAAAGTTATACCATAAATCACTGATTTATGAACTAATCATTTGCACACTTTTGAATATTTAAAAAAAAACCAAAGAAAATTGAGCAATTAAACAGAAAATTTTATGTCAAAATCATTCATAGTTACATTTTTCAAATTTTTAAATACTAATACTTCTTCTAAAAATGATAATTTAGTAACTGATGAAATCAGTTAAAGTTTTTTGCATAATTTCATTCATTTAACAAACTGGATTTTAAATAATCATAGATGGTTTAATTTTAGATGAATACCGTAGTGATTGATTTAATTGATTCTAGCAAATTCTTTAAATTATCACCAATGAAATGATTGCTTGATGATAATGTTGATTAGATTATCACTAATGAAATAATTGCTTGATGATATTGTTGATTAGATTATCACTAATGAAATAATTGCTTGATGATAATGTTGATTAGATTATCACTAATGAAATAATTGCTTGATGATATTGTTGATTAGATTGATAACTGATAATGAAGCGATATTAATGTTAGTAAGTGAATAGAATAATTATTTTATGTCTAGTTATAATAGCAATATGATAATTATTTAACTTTGCACTTAACTTTCAATATTTATCATTAATTACCTATAAATTAAAATTTGTTCATATTTAATTTATATATGAAATATTGCATAAAAAAATATTTTATTAATAGAACGTGAATTGCGAGCAAAAAATATGTAAAATAAATTTCAAAAATGTAATAATAAAAATGTTTAAAAAATAAAAATAAAAATGAAAAGATTAATTCTTGAAAATATATGTGTAACTTTTTACTCATTTGTATGCATTTATAAAACAAAAATTTTGGAATATTACAACAAAAAAATTTTCTAATATTGAATTGTAATTGTTGGGCAGCGTAAAATATTAATTTAAGTGTAAATTTCTTTCATACTATGATAAATTTCAAAATTTAAGATATATGTCAAAACTTAAAATATGTCAAAATTCCCTTTACAAATCAAGAAAATTGATTAACTCATCCTTTTCCCACTTTTTTCCCTTCTCTCTCTCTCTCTCTCTCTCTCTCTCTCTCTCTTCTTTTTCTCCTTTAAAACTCATAAAATGGTATGGCTTTGCTCACTTATTTCGAAAATTATTTTCTTCAATTTCACATCTTTCTCTGTGTTACTTTTAAATATATTAAATTTAGCAAATGTGCATAAGTAATTAACACTATTATTATGATTGTTATCCTCATTATTATTATTATTATTATTATTATTATTATTATTATTATTATTATTATTATTATTATTATTATTATTATCATTATTATCATTATCATTATCATTATCATTATCATTATTTTATCATCATTATTATTTTCATTATTATGTATTATCATTACCATTATTGTTATTATTAATACTATTATTATTTTCATTATTATGCTTATTTATTACTATTATTATTATTATTATTATTATTATTACTATTACTATTATTATTTTTATTATTATGCTTTCTTCTTCTTACTATTATTATTACGTTATTGTTTAATTTATGTTTTTAGAAAATATTTTAGGCAAAGACTGATTAGAAACGGAAATAAGAACAAAAAAAAAACGAATAATTTACGTTTCTCAAAAAAATTACTTATATTGAATGAACAATTTTCATAATTTTGAAATGAAACGTAAAAAAAAATGGAATAGAAATGAAAGCATTGAAGCAAAAGGAAAATAAAAAAGTTGTACTGATAAGATTATAATTAATAATAAATGCTTTTATTTATATTATTATCACTGTCATTATCAGTATTATTATTATTATTACTATTATTACAATTAATAATATATGCTTTTATTTATATTATTATCATCTTTATTATCAGTATTATTATTATTATTATTATTATTATTATTATTATTATTATTATTATTATTGTTCTTATTAATCATTAAATTGTCACTATTTGCTTATTTTTTTTTTAGAAAATATTTAAGGAAAAGATTGATTAGAAACGGAAGTAAAAACAAAAAAAAAAAAACGAATAATTTGCATTTCTCAAGAAAGTTACTTACATTTTTCATAATTTTGAAATGAAACATAAAGAAAAAAGAAAAAAAAAGAATTGAATAGAAGTAAAAGTGTTAATGCAAAAAGAAAATAAAAAAAATTTTACTTATAAGATTAATAATTAATATTATATATTTTTAATTGTAATATTAAAATCTTTTTTTTTTCTTTTTCATTTATTTATTTGACCTTAAAATTTTATATTTACCATTAAATATAATTTATTTTGTTACATGGAATACATTTGGGGATAATTTCATTTCATTTTATTGTTATTGCAAATATATGGATGAGCAATAATGATTGTAAAGTTAATAGTATGAAAAGATTAGTAATATTAAAGTAAAGGAGAGAGAGAGAGAGAGAGAGGGACAGACGGAGAGAGAGAGGGAGAGAGAAAGGTTAATGCATGTGAGAAGGGTGAGAGAGAAATAGATGAGAAGAAGGGAAGGAAAGGAAAGAGAGGAAAAAAAGATTGTCAATACTGATAAAATATATTTTGTTCAAATATTTCTTTTCATTCATTTTAAAATCCCTTTTAGAGCATACTTCAAATGCATTATTATTGTTTTTCTCAAACTATCACTCTTTTTTTTTTTTTTTTTTTAAAAAAGAAAAAAAATAAAACCAAAAACTCATCGTTTTTTTGTTTTTTTTATTTTTAGTTTTTTTTTTTTTTTATTTTTGTTTGGTTTTTTTTTTTTTTTTTTTTACATCTTTCTTTCTATGTTTGAATAATAAAAAGATGATGAAGAAGAAATGGTTGAAGTGGAAGCTTAAAGCTTTACTAAATGGTAAAAAAAAAAAATTTCTCTTTTTTTTTTTGAAATATTTTCTAATCTATCAAATATAACTTACTTATACACATTTATTTGACATTTTTCCAATTCAATTTTTTTTCCTTTTCTCTCTCCCTCTCTCTCTCTCTCTTTTTGTTTTAGCTATAATTATTTTTAATTTTTGAAATTAAATTATTGTACTAGGAACAGTAATTTTGATCGGTTATTGTAATACGAAACAGCAACGATTTTAATCAATTATTGTGATAAGAGAAATTGTGATTTTAACTAATTATTGTGATAAGAAAAATTGTGATTTTAACTAATTATTGTGATAAGAAAAATTGTGATTTTAATGGATTATTTTTGATAAGAACTATAATGCAGATATTTGACTATTGTGATCAAAAAAGCGGTGATTTTGAAACGAATATTGCTGATAAGGACAATTATTCAAATCAATTATTGTGATAAGAAGTGATAAACACAAATCGATTATATCATTTCGTTTGGTGAAATTTTATCAAAAGAGAATAACGAAAGGTATATGTGTATGAGTGTATGAAAAGTTATTTTGTTTGAAATATGTCACATACACCCATTTCAGGTTTGTTTGTTTACTTTTTTTCATTAATTAAAGGTTAATAATGAGTTCAATAAGTTTAATTTGAATGATTTTAATTGATAAAAGTATCTGTGATAAAATTGATATGATTAAACTAATTGTACGATTTTAAAAAAAATTAAAATAAATAAAGGAATATGAAATATAATGAATCAACTTCTAATAATATTATAAATTAAAATTAAAAATATCAGTGAAATAATTTAAAAAAAAAAAAAAACGAAAAAGGAATAAATGAAAAAAGTTAAAAACAAAGGCAAAAACAATAAGATAAATTGAAATGCAAATGCTTTTTTTTTTTTGCATTTAAAAAAATTGTTATTATTATGATTTTTCTATTTTTCGTTTTCTCTTCTTTTCCTTTTAATTGAAATGAAATTATAAGTTTTAATGTTTTGCTAAAAAACTTTACTTTAAAAAAAAGAGAAAAAAGTTTTTTTTTCTTTTATCTAACTTATAATTTTATTTGGTAGAAAATTATTTATCATCAAAGACTTATGATGACAATTATGAATTTTTAAAGTTTCATGATACCGCAATTGTTTAGATTAATTTAATTAAAAATTTTCTGACCAAAATAATTAGCAACATCGGATGCATTAAATGAAGTCATTATTAAGGAATAAAATCAATTTAAAAGTATTTATAATAATATTAATTATTTTAATTTAAGAATGAAAAAGTTTGAGTTTGAAAAAAAAATAATATCTAATTGTTTGCATAATTATTTACTAGAATTTTCAATAAATAATGCATTATTTCAATATTTTGTTTTCAATTTTTATTACTTTTCAATAAGCAAATTTCTCTAACGAAATATTTGTTCAAAAACTTATTAATTTACTAACATTTATATCAATTTAACTTTGAAATGTTTCATTCGTTGGTCAACATTCAGTGACCTCTATGATTGGTCAAAATTTAAAATTGTTTGGTTAATATTGAACTGACCCCTATGTTGATCAAAAATTTGAAATGTTTACCCAAGAATGATTATTATATTAGTTTCATACCATCATTTATGCTTCACATTTTATTATCATAAAATAATTCCCATTCCTTTCCCGTGGGGAAAACTGGTAAAGACGGAAGGAGAAATTAGTCAGTTTCTTCTTCTTTTTTTTTTGCCATTTGGAAAATTTTCATAAAATTTATAAATATTTCATAATTAATAAAATTCTATAAAATGCTTCTTGTTTCGTTCTTTTTTCTTGAAATGCATGACAAAAGATTTTTATTTATAAAAGAAGGATGAAAAGTTGAAAATATTATATTAGTAGTCATCGCATCAACTTATTATCTTTAATTATTATTAATTATTACTATCGTTATTTTTATTACTGTTATTATTACTATTATCAATATTTTATTATTATTATATTGATTTAATTTTTTAATTAATTAATAGTTTTCCTTTTATTTGCAATCTATTGGTATTTCTCTTTTTTTTCTCTTTAATGCTGATAAGTTTTATCAGTAAATTTTACAGTTCTATTTCAAATCTTTTTAATTTTACTAATTCTGTATCATTCGATTTTTTTTTCCATAAATTTACTTCGTTTTTCTAATTTATTTTTTGTTATTGTTTATTTTTAAAGTATAAATTCAAATGCTATATAAACAAAAAAAAAAAAAAAAAACTGTTGCGATTTCTGTTGTTGTTAAATTTAATTTTACATTACTTTAGCACATCTTATAGTATTAATAATTATTTATATCATTAATTAATTAATTTATTTGTTTATTTTTAATATGCATGTCGAGAAATTACAAATTATTTCAAAAAAAAAAAAAATCAGAATGTATAATATAAAATGAAATATTTTTAAGTAAATTTGATAGGTATAAATTTGTTTTCTTTTTTTTTTTTTGATTAGCTATTTTTATATTTTAGTTATAAAAGTAAAAATAAAAATGATGAAATTCAATTTTTCTTTTCTTTTATAAAAATTTGATATATTCACAAAGTAATAAAAATAAAAATGAAATTTAATAGTATGTAGGTATCATTTACAAATCACATAAAATGATGTGAAAGCAAATGAGACAAAACTGACGTAAATTAACAAAGAGAGAGAGAGAGAGAGAGAGAGAGAGAGAGAGAGAGAAAGAAAGAAGGGAAAAATTGGTTTCTCTTTTTGCATTTCTTTTTTGTCATTTTCAAAGCAAAAAGAAAAAATATTTTTATTATCAGAAAATAATGAGCTTGAAGAGTGAATTTTATATGACTTTAATATAAAATATAATAAATAACTATTTTAAAAAAGAACAAAAAAAAATTTATAATGAAATTTTAATAAATATATTTTTGCTCTTTTTTTTTTCTTTCGAAGATAATTTTGAAAATATTAAATTTTTCTCATAAATATTTTTTTAGAATGGATTAAACCGATAATTGATTAATATTTACAGCAAATGAAAACAAAAACTTTTTGCTTGCTGCTAAAATTTTTAATTCATAATTAATAAAAAAATATTCATTACATTTAAAAACTACTAATATATATGAAACAAATATTTGTGATAAAAATCTTCACTAAATTATTGTAAAATTTTTGTAATTTTAAATTTTAAGTTAAAAATTTAAATTTTTAAATTAATTTATTTATATTCAAATTTATATTTATATTTATTTATATTTAAATTAATTAATTAAATCAAAAAATTTTGAATTAACCAAGAAAAAAAAAGACAAATACTATCTGAACATTTTAATATTATTATGAATTGTTTTCTTTTTTTTTTTGACTAAAATTTTAAGCATAAATTTTTTTTCTTGCATAACATTTTTGCTTACAATCAGAAATGTTTTACTTATGCATTTTAAATGAATTTTTTTTTTTTGGCTAAAATTTTAAACATACATTTTTTTATATAAAATTTTTGCATATTATATATAATCAAATTATGATTTCAATTTCTGATAGTACTTTAGCAATTTAATTTTTTATTAAATTTTTCATCCTTTAATGAAATTATGATTATATTTTAGGAGTGCATAATCCATCGCCATATCTTCGTCGTTATCGCTTACCAGCAATTAATTCAAGTGCGACAGTTGCCGCTTACGATGATCTATTAAGTCCTATTGATAATTGCGCCAAATTAGCATTCATTTCGACGCTTAATTTTCAAAATAAGGTTTAGCAAAAGGATAAAATTCTTTTTAAATAATTTAAATTAAAAAATTAAATTTTTGATATGAAAATATTGAAAATTTGCGCAGTATGTGTGTGTAAGTTAAGAAATTATTTGATGAAAACTAATTTAAAATGATAATAATAAATAAAGGAAAAAAAAATTAAAGGGTTAAAGAATAAAATTTGATATTTTTGAAAGGAAAAAATAAAACTGAAGATCAACAGTTTAAAATTTAACTTATGATTATGATTTTTATAATTTAATGAAAAGAATTTATAAAATATGATTGCGAGATCTGAGTGATTTTTTATAACTTTTATTTATATCAAAAAAGTGTGATAATAATTTTACATTAACTATAATTTAGATATTTTATTTGTTTATTATCCTAATGTGGTGCAGTAATTGCATTTGTAGTTTTAATGCAAAAGTTAAATCCATTCTCTATTAATTCCTTTCAACTTTTCAAATACGAAAAAATAGTTTTATTTTGTTTTTAATACTCGAAAATGACTATTATAATAAATATTGCATAAAATTACTGTTCAAATAGAATTGAAATTGGCAGTGTGAAAAACACATTCATTGCACATATTTTATTTTAATAATATATGAATTAACTCATATGTGAATTAATTTAAACAATTCATACATATGTGTATTTTTCATTTCTAATTTAAATTTCTTTAAGTTTTCTGCCGATCACAGCTGATAATTCATATTCTAAATTATTATATTCTTATACATTACTTAAAACTTCACTTTATTTATACATAATTTGTTATTTATTCAGGCTATTTAAAAAGCAAGTAAGGTTATTTATTATCAATTTTTCAGTATTCAATAAAAAAAATGAAAAAAAAATTTTTTGTGTTATTTTCATTTATATTTTATTCTTTGCTTTCTCAAAGCATATATTAAATAAAAACTGGAAGAAAAAAGCACTTTTAAGAAATAGAATAAAATTTAGGAAAGTTTTGAAATATTGCAAATACTAAGTGCTAATGCATCTTATGAATAATCGTCATATAACATTCATATTTTAATTCTATTATACTAATTAATTGTAATTATAACTTTAATTAATTATTTATACAAAAAATGATCTGTAATTGATCAAAATATTCTCTACTAATTTTTTTTTCTTTGTTAAGCAATTTTGTATTTCGAAACCAAATATACCACCAAATACTAGAATGATCGATGATAATAACATGGAGTTAAATTGCGACAAAACAAATTCTACTAGGACATCTGCCATTTCATATATGTTAGTCGTTTTTTCCTAAAACAATGGTGTACTGTATTACAGTGAACAAAGGTGTACTGTAACTTACAGTAAAATGTTTAACTTTATAATTATTCATTCAATTCTTTCATATCTGAATTATGTATATTTGGTGAAGTTATACTACTTTATTCTACTTATTAATAGCTTCAAATAATAGCACTGTATGCAGCAATTTGATAAAGTTGTAATTGATTTATTAAATAGCAGTAATAAATATATTAATTAAAATAAATACAACAATGAAAATAAGATATATAAAAAAAGAGAAATATCGAGTAGTTAGTTGGCATATTCTTGGTGAAATTTATTAAAAATTTACTCTTCTGCTTCTCATTGTACTTTTTATTTTCGGTATCGTAATGTTGTTTGGATACGGTAACCTCATTTTACTTTTTGCTACCGTAATTCGGTATCGTAACCACATTCTGCATTTATCATTGGTAAATGATAAAAATAAAAAGAGAATGGTATATTTTGTTTAGCGATGACTGAAAAAAATGAAACTAATATTTTCTTTTCTTCTTTTTCGTCATTTTTTTTTTTGGGATAAGCAATTGTAATAAATTAGAATAAGCACTTAATGGCTAATCATAATTAAAATCTTTGCACAAAAATTTTTTTTTATTTTTATGTTTTTTGTTGCATGAAATAAAAAAGGAAAGAAGAAAAGTATATTAGTAAAAAGCTAAGAAATTTTTTTTAAATTTGTTTTCACAGTAAAAATATTTTGAAATATTATAGTAGCATATATCAAAGCATTTATTTTATCTTCTTTTTTGTCCTTTTTTTCTTTCTCCTAAAAAATTTTTTAAGCATAAATTTTAAATTTAAGCATAATAAATCTAAATGAGGAAAGAAATAAATGGAGATGAAATTTTGCTTGATGAAATTTTCATTCCATATGAAATTTATATAGGAAAATGAATGAATAGATGAGGGAGAGGGAAAGAGAAAAAAAGGAAACAATTTCATATTTTTTTAAAGTAATAGAATTTCAATACAATCAATATTTTGAAACTGGTTTTAGCTAAGTTGCTAACTTTTAGTTCTACTTTTAGTGATTCATCATCACCCGATCAAGGTAATCCATTGACTAAATCAGCGATTGATTTTGAATTTCGATTTGTTGCAACGGAACTGGAAAAGAAATGTCATGAATACGATCGGATTGCCCAAATGACAAGTATGACAATAGGTAATACTACTAATGGAACACGGAAAAGTGATGAGAAAATGTTGTAAATATTTTGCGAATAAATATTGCTAAAATATGAAATAAAATTTATATTACTGGTAATTTACAAAGAGAGGATGATATAAATGATAAAAAATACAAATTGATTTGCATAAATTCTGATAATGGATATAAATTCTTCATTTTTATCACTTTTTTAATATTTTAAATCCGATATGGATTTATAAACATATTTGCAAAAAAGAACAAATTTTATATGATAAAAAAAAAATAATAAAAAAAAACAAAGAGGAAAAGACATGGGAAAGAGGAATTGCATTAATTTAAAATGTTCACATATAATTTTGTTTTTATTTTTTCTTTATTTTTTTTCAAAATAATAATAAATAATGAACATAAAAAGAAAAAAAAATTTTCCTGAATACAAAATGATAACTTCCTGTATTTCATGATTCTAAAATTGAAATTTTAGATGGAAATAAATCTTTGATAAGAATGGTTAAAGTAAAATTAGGGTTTGCTTCATTTTGAAATTATCATCAAATTTCATACTTCTTTATTTCCATTAAATCGTAAAAAATGCAATTATCATAAACAACATACATTTGTCATTCGAAAATACCTAATAAGAGAAGAAAAAAAAAACACTCGAATAATTTGTTTGTATCATTTACTTCATTATTTACAGAATTACTTATCAGTAATACTTTTTTAATGATACAATTTTGCTCATTATGTCTTTTTTATCATTATCTGATTAATGCATTGATAAAATTTATCTCAAATGCTTTATGATGAAGTGATAAGCAAATTTAGTGAAATTACATATGTAACAATCTTGACAAAATAATAGCAGTGTATGATAATCCTGATAATTTCAATCAAAATGATGCTTTAATATGATTATCCTGACATATTATGATATCCTGATAAGTTTAAACTTTAAATGTTAAAATTTAATTTAATATCTTAAAAATGATATCATCGTAATTTATCATTTTCAGCAATCATTTGACCAATATTACTGCTTATATTATATACTGAAAAATATCTATCCTTCAAATCAGTAGTTTTTTGTGCAGTAGCAGTGGAAAGTGGTTGATGTAAGGGTGATTTTCTAATTTTTGATTCAATATTTGTTGAAATGAATGATGTTCGAGTTGGTGGTACTGGCGCTATTGTCGTTGGACAATGATCACGTTCATAGCATTCACGTGATTCGTAACTTTTTCCTTGACAACCTTTTACAAGAAATGATGTTTCATAGTGACATACTCGTGTACGAATTTGTTTTCCACAAAAACATCGTTGCCAATTTGTCCATTCTGACCAATTTGATGCTAAAAAATTTTGGAAAAATAAATTTTAATTAAAAAAAGAAACAAACAAACAAACAAAAACAAAAGGAAAAAAATATGAAATTTAATTATTTTATTGCTCTAAAAAATAAGAATGAAAATTTATTTATTTTTAAAAAAGAAAAAAAATTATTTTTTCAAAAATACGAATTGTATAATATTTAAATTATTCGATATTTATATAAGCTATTTCTATCATTGTTGTTAATACTTGTTATTATCATCTTATTGTTAACCTACTGTTAATATTAACATTAAATGCCCTATTATCAACATATCACTCCTAATCATATTGTGAAAAATATATAGATAAAATCATATAAACAAAAAAAAAATATGAAATATGATAAACAAATATGTGATTTGAAAGTTTTAAGAAATAAAATTATTGTTGACATAAAATTTGCATTAGTTTAATTGTTGACATTTTAATGCTTATTGCCATTTATGAATGAAATAATCGAATTTTGATTTTTTCTTATGATATCAATATATTCAGCAACTTATCAAATGTTAAAATTATTCAATGAATAGATGAATAAACTTTATTCATTTCATTTATTCCTTTGGGTTAATTTGAATTTTCCCAAATGTATTTGTAAGCAATCATTTGTTTATTATGCAAAATGTTAAATTATAATGAATCTCAAACATTTTAACATAAAACATTCAAAAACATATATCAGACAAAAAAATCAATAATTTTAAATTAAAAATATTTAGAAACTAACTAGCATTTTCATTCATTGAAACTAAAAATATTCGAGATTGATCAATAACTGTAGGCGCTGTTGTCGGCGTAAAAGTTGACGTTAATGGTCCTCTGGGTACTAAATTTAGATTCATCGCTTTCCAGTGTGATTCCATTTTATTATTATTTTCCTTAGTTAACTCCTATAATTTAATTTTATTTATGTTTTTTTTTTTTTTTCATTTTTAATTTTAATTTTTAAAATAACTTTTGTTTAAACATTCGTTTTTCGAATTTATAAAAAAAAAATTTGCAAATATTTGTGAAAAAAAGAATGATTGACAAATAAAACAAAAAGAATATATTTTTATATTTTTCATCAATATTACATTTTTGTAAAACATTTATTAGTCAGTGAAATGCATAAACATTAATTTATTCAATTTTTCATTACTTCGGTAGTTTTTTTCAAACTTTTTGAGCTTTCCACATTTTTGTTTATTTCTTCCAATTCTATTTCAGTATTGCTTGATTCCTTCACGTATAAATTCTGAAATAAAAACAAAAACAAAAAAAGGAAGAAAGAAAGAATTGAAATGAAGCTAATAATTAATATTATACAATTTTTCAGCACTTATATCTTATTAAATTAATTTATAATTTCACTAAATTAATTTAATTCCTTCCGGAAACTTTATATTAAAAGATTGATTACTTCAAAGCTAATAATAATCAGTGTACAAAAGTAAGTAATATAATGCTATAGTAAGCGAGAAATATTTTTACATTCTGAATAAAGTAAAAGTAATTATAGCAGAAATAATAATAAACAATAGTAATGAAAGCAATGATAACGATAATAGTGATAATAACAATAATATTAATAATAATCATATGGATAGTAATAATGCCAATAATAATAACAATGATAATTTCCCAATAATAATAGTAATAATAATAATAATAATAATAATAATAATAATAATAATAATAATAATAATAATAATAATAATAATAATAATAATAATAGCATTGATAAATATTGCAGTAATAATTATTAAACGTTAGAATTTTGAAATTTAATCATATGCAAATTATCAATTACTTTTGATTAAATAGCAAAATTTGCTATCCTAAAACTAAATTATGAAAGAAAGTGAAATGATAAATTATATCAAAAATGAAAATACAATAATATCGGTGTAATTGTTATTATTGTTCAATTCTCATTGTTTTTAGATATTATTGCTGATAATAATATGATTAACTATGATAATATAGTACGATAGAATATGATAGATTTAATTAAGTATAAATATTACTAAATATACAAACTAAAATTTCTAATTCTAATTAATATTGCAATTATTAATTATTCCTTTTCCTTCTTTATTTTTGAGTTTGAATATTCAAATATAAATAATTCGAAGAAATATTAATATTCGAAAATTACTTAATTATTGGATAACTAGTAACTTTATTAGGTAATGATTTCTTTGTTGGTTGATCGATATTATCATTATTATTTCCATCATCATCATCGTCATCAGAGGACATCGCTCTCAATAATAAATCCAATGCTTTATCAGCAGCAGCTCTATCGTTATCACTTGCCTATTATAAAATATTTTCATTTTTGTATACCATATTTTTAAAAATTAAAAAAAAAGATTTTGCATCGAAAAAATAAAGTTTTAAAAAAAAAATTTATGCATGCAACAACAATGCTAATAGTTTACTTATTAACTTAATCGGAATTCAATACTGCAATACTTGTATTTGATATTATAATATCTTGAAAAAAAAAGTCAGCGAATAATTGCTTATCTCTTCAACAAATTAAATTTTGTTTTCTTTTCATAAATTTTTACTAAAAATAGTTGTTTACACATGAAATTTAGTACTGCAATATTTTAAATAATTTAACTATTAAACTTTAAATATTTAATTAATAAAAGTTTATATATTTAACTTATATAAATTTAATAATTAAACTCAAATTATGCCTTTGAAATTTTGTAACAATTATTGTAAAAAAAAAAAAGTTCATATATCATTTTTATTCATACATTCATCCAAGAAATTGAAAATTATTTCAAAAATAGGAATTAAAATTTTAGAAATGAAAAAGTAATAATTATGTTTACATTTTATAGTAATTCAAAAAAAAAAAAAATGATAAGGTAGTAAATGATAAGAGTGATTTACCTGATGAAAATTACCATTTTGTAATATTTTGTGTGATTGATCGGCAACGTATGTTTTTGATGCTGATGCTAATGCGTCTGATATTTTACGTGGCGCATATTTCAAATTGTTATTATCAGTGATAACATGTTCAGGTAGAATATCAAATGATGATAATGCTTGTTGATCTTCTTCTCTATTTCATTTTTCTTTGATGAATTATTTGATTTTTTATTTTTTTAAAACAATTTTTAAACAAACAATTTAAACAATTTTTTTTTTTTGTTCGTATTTTTGAAAAAAAAAAAAATTTTTTTTATTTTTATGAATATTTTTTATAACAAAAATGATAACAAATAAAGACAAAATAAAACAAACAAAAAAATTTTTTTAAAAAATGAATATTTAAATATATATCATTATAAATAAAAATAAAACAAAACTAAAATTCAAATATTATTTAGATAAAAAAAAATACAAATAATTAATTATACTATTTCATCGTGATAATTAAAATATTAATTTAATAAAAGTAAATAATGAAAAAATTAACTTACAGTTGATCGAATTTCTTTAATGATATTCCATAATTGGAAATTTTTGGTTTGACATTTACAGGATTTGAGTGAATTTTTAAACTTTTTAATCTTAACGTATTCGATTCCGGAAATGCAAATTGTGTTTTATCATCAGTAAATTCATTACGACGTATCATTGCTTCGCTCTTATCAATTGGTGTTAATGCTTTAGCAATTGGTATTGATATGGACGAATGATAATTTGATGGAATTTTCGCTTCAACTTTTGACATTTTCATTGTATTCGTTGTTGTTATTGGTATTGTTGTTGATAATGATGATATTTTATTCATTTCTGATATAAATGTTTTAGATTTAATCGAATTTAATAAATTATTACTAGTTGTTGTTGTTGTTGTTGTTGTGATAATATTAGGAAAGTTATCATTAGCATTGGTTGTCTCTTGTGAAATCCATGTTGTAATACCAGGTGGCATCCATACTAAAACTTTTGATGGTATTGCTGCTGTATTCATTTCATTATCATTAACTGATAAAATTGGTTCATTTTCCTGTTCATCAATTAAAATTCGTTCTGTTGCTGTAAAAAGCACTGATCGTTCATTCTGATCAAATTGTGCTGATTTTGATCCATCTGACAAATGTGAAATTTGCGGTGACCGATGGACTGATTGCATAAGTGATGACTCAGATGCAACTGGTGATTGTCGTCTGATCGATGCTGATACAGGTATTTGATCAAGTGATTCAGAAGGATGTTGCTTTTGTTGTTGTTGTTGTTTATTAGTATTAGATGATAATGGCATATCAGTGGTAATTATAGCATCTGATAATGATGATGATAATGATTGTCCTATTGTTTTAGTATTGAAATCTCGAGTAGTGGCTAATGTTGGTGCTGAAATTTGTAGGAAAATTTATTTATTTTTTTTTTTAAATTCATTAATTTATTTACATTGTTTATGCATTTGCGTTCAAATTTGTTTAATTTTTCTGTTACTGCTATTTGTTATTGTTTTACTAAATTGGAAAAGCAAACATTTGCGATTAGTTAATAAAATAATTAATTGAAATAGACAAAATTTTTCATTTCAAAATTATGACCTGAAAAACTGATCAAATTTTTAATAAAAGAACCAAAAAGACAAATTAATGAAAAAAAGCTAAACAAAACAACAATAATTAATTTGTTGTCATACTAAAATTTCAAAATACATAATTCAAATCAATTCGTATTTGAATTAATAAATTAGATTGACTATAAATAAATTAATCCCTCTGTTTTATTCTATTATTATTTAATTTATAAATTAATAGCATAAAATTAATAAGTAAAATAATTTAAAAAATTTTTTCTTTGAAAAAAAACAAATTTTATTTTTTAAGTAAAATAAAAATTGAAAATAAATATTTTTGGCTGAAAAAAAGATAAAATTAAAGTTTCTTTTCTTTAAATGATTAACAATTGACATCATAAATTAATAGCAAATAGAAGAAAAATGTTTAGAAAAATTGTCAAACTAACTGATTTGCTTATCATTTAACACTGCTTCTTGTGTCATCGACTGATAATCATTATGAGATTCCTTTGTTGTTACTCTCACTAAAAAAAATAATTATCATTATCATTTATCACTTCGAACAATATTATTTGTGGTTTAAATTTTTTTTGTTTTACAAATTGCTAAATCTTTAAGTAAACCTTTTTCTTCCTTTCGTTCAAATTATTCTTTTTTATCTTTCCATTTTCATTTTATCATTCTCGAAAAAAAAAAAATTTTTTTTTAAAAACATAAATATTTTATGTCTATCAATTTTAATCAAATTTAAATAATTTTGATTAGAAATTGTAAACTTAAAAAACTCTATTAATATAATTTCAAAACAAAAGAAATTGATCATTTTTTAATAATTATTTAAATCACTTGTAATTTTAACCAGTTAAATAGAATTAATATTTTTTTTCTCATTTCTTTTTCTTTTCTGTTTTTAACTAAAAATTTTTGTTTTTGTTTTCTTTCTATTTTATTTTTAACATAAAAAATTTTTTTTTTGAAAAAATATTTTTTAGATTTATTTTAATGTAAAAATTGAAAAATAAATAAATTTAACTCTTATCTTTCTTTTTAATAATAATAAATAAATTTTGAAAATATATTTCTTCTAGATTTAATTTTGATGTAAAATTTATAGAAAATAATGAAACCTCGTTCACGTCGACGTATTGCCGATTCACGTGGAATAAATTTATTTTTATTCTCATCTGAATTCACTTTTTCTGATTGATCCGATGAATATTTATGAGAATAAAGTTGCTTCATAGCTTCTTTTCGATCTTCTTCCCATGGATCAACTGCCGTATAGTCGGATTCTTGTACTGCTGGTTGCATATAATCTAAGTCACATTCCATGAATTCCTTTAAAAAACAAAAAACCAAAAAATTATGCTAATTTAATTTTATGTTCTAAATTATAAAATTAAAAAAAAATTTTTTTGAAAATAAATTTTAAATTTCAAAAAAAAAAAAAAATTATATTTGAAAACAGAAAACAAAGAAAATACATATGCAGACTGGATGAAAATTTTGGATTTTTTTTCTTTAAATTGATAATGTAACATATAAATTACCTGCTTTTTACCAAGACATGAAAATCCTCGTACTGTATTACACGCACGTACACGTACACGTACCTTGTTCACGCAAAATGACCATGCTGACCATGATGCCCACACCGAACCATATACTAGAATTTGACTTATCTTTTACTAATTTGTCTTTCACTCCTAACTATTTTTTTAAGTGGAAATAAAATAAAAAATCGAAAAAAAAGGCTATTATCATTTTAAAATAAAATCTTTAAAGTAAAATTAAAACAGTAACTTTTAAAAATCAGAAAATTGATATATTCTGGTGTTAGATTATCCAGTATTAAATTTTAAATTTAGTTTAATAAATTATAAAAGAATAAAATCTGCAAATTTTTTTTTTTACAAACTAAAATAGTGTAATGCAATTATGTCTCTTGAATGATTAAATTCTTGAATGATAAACTCTTGAATGATGATTAAAATCTTGAATGATGATTAAACTCTTGAATGATGATTAAACTCTTGAACACAATAAAATTTTAATTTGTGATTATCATAGTTTTCATAGAATATTTCAATCAATTAATTATTGTTTCAATTAGTAGCATAATTATTTGCCATTAATAATGCGATGTTCAATTTTAATTCTGTTTTTTTTACAGTTTAAAATTTTAAAATGTAAGAAAAGGATGTAAAAACACAGTTTACATCAATGCAAACATTTTGTTGCTAAAAATGAAATTTTTTAAAAAAAAAAACAAGAAAATAGGTTAAATTGTCGTTCCACTATTTTTGGCATAATTTATGTTTGCATGTGTGTAAATAAATATGTGTGGTGTGCGTGTACGTGTATATATGCCCAGACGTGCATGGATTACGTACGTACGTGTGTGTGTATGCGTATGTGTGTCCATTGTGCATCAATGCAAAACAATTTTTTGCTAAAAATTAAGCGAAAAAAAAATGAATAAAATATTAATTAAATTTTTTTCCACTTATTGATTAATCGTAACAAATGTTTGAATTTGGTCAAAAAAATAAAAAATTTCGCTAAATTTTTTCCAAAAAAATAAATAAAAAAAAGTGATAAAAATTTTTTTATGAATCTTTTAAAACTTTCTTATAAGTATACGCTTTTGTTTTTTGTTTTTTTCTTTCTACAATTTAAGTTTCTTTTTTCAAAAAAAGTTTTTCCAAAAAAAAGAAAATTTTTTTTGGAAAAAGAATTTAAAAAAATTCTTGAAATCATTGTTTATTTTTTGCTCCAATGGAAAAAAGATATTAATTTAATAGTTCATATTATTAATTAATATTAAGTAAATGTGTATTTTCTTCTAAAATTAATTTATATTAGGTACTTACTAAATGGACCATTAGTTGGTGGTGGTGAATGTGGTGTTGCAAATCCGACAAACTGATTTAATTTACCGGTCCGGTAATTAAACGGAAATTCTGTTACTTCATTGCCAAATACTACTAAAATTTACGTTTGACTAAAAAAGAAAAGAACGAGAGAAAGATAGAAAAAATTATTGTTTTTTTTTTTAAGTAAAATATTAAAATTGAATTAAAATATTAAAATTAACAAAGTAACAAAATTAAATGGAATAATAAATGAAATTATTAATATCTAAAAAAAATTTGGCAAACAAATAAGAAAAGAGAAACCTTTTAAATAAGTGAAATTTTAAAAGAATAAAAAAATAAATTGCGAAAAATATTACAAATTTTATAATTCCTTATTTTAGACTTCAGAATTAATTATATTTTGTTTTTCTTCAAAAAAAATTTTTTAAGCTAAATAATATTAAAATATATTTTAATATTATTTGAGAATTATTAATTTTAGTTCACCTATAATAGTTCGAACGGTTGGATTAAATTTTAATTCATTTTGCTGAAAAAAAGAAAAAAAATTTTTTTTTGCAGAATTTCTTCTAATTTCATTTTAAAAAATTGTTTCAAATTAGAAGACTATTTGTTAGGTTTCAGTCAAAAAAAAAAAATTTTTTTTTTGAATGCTGATAATTTTTTAAAACAAATGTAAAATTTAATAATAATAAAATAATAGTAAGAATATGATAATCATAATTTGAATCATTAAATTATATCTATTTTCTTTGTGATAAAGAATTCGTTTCAATGATTACAATGATATTATAATCATAATATTATTAAAATATTTGTAAACATAATCACAATAATAAAGTGAATAATATATGATATAAATAATCAAAAAAAAAAAATTAATTCAATTTTAAATATATTTTAAATTTTAAATGTTTTAATTTCAGTACGTTTAAATCAAATGTTATTCAATGTTTTTTTATCTTATTAATGATAAGATGTTTTTTTCACAATATTTAAAATTTATTAATTCAATTATTTGCAAATGTGATATAATATAAAATTTTATAATACAAAATGATATGATATAAAATTTTATAATATAAAATGATATGTATAAAAAAAACATTAGTCGAATGAATTTTATGTTTCACTTTTCTTTATAAAACTCTTACATATCATTTAAAAAAAAAAAAAAAATGAAAATTTAAATATTTTCTAATCATATTATGATAGCATTGATATTTGATAATTAGAAATATTTTATCAAAGCAAACCTTTAGCAAGTGATAAAAGAGTAAGCAATAATAATTGCTTAATTAAGAACGATATCATTCGATGTGATTTTTATTTACTTTTTTCTTCAAATCTGTTTATCTTTAATTATATTATCCAATCGTTCACGTTGATAACAAATACCTGATCAAAATAAATTTAAAAAGCAAAAAAAAAAAAGAAACAATTTCAGATTACAAAAAAAAAAAAAAGAAACGAATCTTTAGCGACAAATTGTGACAGCGGTACTAACTAATATAAAATAATAATTGATAATAATGTAACTTTTTGATATTAACAAAATAAATGATGATTGAAGTGATGATTAAAAGTGGAAAATGAAATGCTTTTAGATGGTTAGGATTGAAAGATTAAAATTTATCAAGAATTTTCGAAAAGACAATTGGGTCACAGTTCACAATCATTAGGACAAAAGGAAGTCAATCATTATTATTTCAATTTTGGGGGAGAGGGGGAGGACAAAAAAAAATACCACTGTAAGTAATGAGAATGAGATGATGAAGAAATGAAGAGATGATGATAGAAAAGAGGGAGAGAGAGAGAGAGAGGGAGAGATAAAATTGAAATAAATTTTGATACAAAATTTTCGAAATAGAAAGATTAAAATTTTTGAAGTGGTAAAGTTAAATTGGATAGAAATTTGAACCATTTTCATTCAATCATCATTATCTCTTCTCTTCTTTTATTAATTCATTCTTTTCAACAATCTATCATATAAAATAATTTTATTTTATCTTTTAAATCCTCTTATTTCCTCTTTCTCTTTCTCCCCTCTCTCTCTCTCTCTCTCTCTCTCTGTCTTTTTTCCTTTTTTACTCTTTCTATCTCTTTCTTTTTACATTTTAAATTATTTCTCAAATCTTTCATACTTATCATTTTCTTTTACCTCTTTTTATTTTTCCTCTCATATCTAATAACTGATAATAATAATTTGATAATTATCATAATTAACAATAATTAGTAATTTTTAACAACAACAACAACAAAAACTTATTTACTTTATGAAATTGCATATTAACTTGTTTTTTTTTCAATCGTTTTATTCTGTATTTATGTCATTAAATTTATATTCTCTTAAAAAAAAATTTTTTTTCTCTCTCTCTCTCTCTCTGTCTGTCTCTTTTCCCTTTCTTTTTGCATTCTTTCTTCCTATTCCTCTTTTATATCCTAAATCAATTCAAATACAAAGTTCTCATTTCAGTAAAATGAATGAAAAGAAATTTCGATGTGTATTTATCGATGATTTTGAAATTTTATCGAAGGATTTTACCATTTTATCATTCCTTTTTGAATTCCATAAATTTAACCGAAAAACTAATACAATTTAATCCATTTCGTTCAATAAATTTGTACCAATTATTTAGTTTTAAAGAAATAAAATTAACAAATTTATACCATATGTAAATGCAAATTGTTTGTATTAGTTTTAATATTTTTCATATTAAAATGTCAACAAAAAAAATAAATAAATAAATTAAAATGATTGGTAAATAATTTAAAATCAAAAAAAAAAAAAAGAATCGCAAAATGTTGTGTAAATTTGAAAAAAATCAAATGTGAAAATTTTCATGTCAATATGTCAACAAGATGAAAAAAGGAAAAAAAAAACATACATATTTATTCAAAACTCATTTAATATTTAAAATTTTTTGAAAATTTGTTTGTTGAAATTAAAAAGAAAATATTCATTTCAATATTTCAGAAATATGCAATTATTTACAAAAATAAATTTACTAAGTACGAATTACAAAAATACTTATATATCAAATAATGTCAAATTTTTCTTCCTACCTTTTTTAATTTTGTTAATTAGTATTTCGATATTACTTTTTTAAAAAAAAATATCATCAAAATAACAATCAAATATTTTCGACAAACAATGAAATTAACAATTTGAATAAATAAAATCATAAATGAAAAAAATTTTTAAAAATTTAATTAATTAAAACGAAATTGTTTAAAGAAAAGAATTTTTTTCTAAACAAAAATCATTTCCTTTTTATGTTTTATTCATTAATATTTTATATTTCATTTATATTTCTACGCCTTTTTTCTTTTATACTCATTTTGTTAAAAAAAAAAAAAAATTACTTGTAAAATTGAAAAAAAAATTTTTTTTTCAATTATGTTGAATTTTGACAATTTTAATTGGTTCAGGATTAATCTTCGGTCGTTTCAAATATGTCGCAGTAATTTCTTCTTCAATCATAAATGGATTTAAATTAACTAACTTTTCATTTTTATTTGTATTTTTATTTGCTTTAAAACAAATTTGCTTTTCAGTTTCAATTTTGTTTAATTCACAAACTGTTAATAAATTCATTTCAATTGTTGCATTATTGTTATTGAAATTAGTACTATTAATAATCATTGTATCATTAGCAAATTGTGATGTTGATGATGATGATGATGATATTGCTGATGATAATGTTGATAACGGTGATAATGATGATAATGATGATACACACAAACGAAATCTTGTACGTTCATCATTCCTACATTTACTCCAATCACTCCATTCTTGCCAATTTGTTGACAACATTGAATCTGTAATTTAATTAGTAAAAGATTATTTATTAATTTTAGAATTTAAAAAAAAAAAAAAAACAGAAAAATTGTTAATGAAATTTAATATGAATAAACTTCAAAATTTGAAAAATATCATCAAGAAAACATAATGGATTCTAAAATTAAAAAAAAAAAATCTTTAATGAAACTTAATAAACCTTCAAACTTTAAAATTTTAATTACAGTAAACACAATACATTTTAATTATAGAAATTTGTAAATGCATTCTTTAAAAAAAAAAAACTGAAAACATTTATGTAATATGCAAATTTAAGAGAAACATAAAAAACAAAAATGGAATGAATGAATTAATAAATAATAAATAATCATCAATACTTAATGAAAAGTGCAAAAATTAGCAAAAAAAAAAATTTGATAAAAATATCAAAATTTAAACAATCGGAAAAAAATAGAGAAAAAGAATTTAAACAACGATTAAATTTTCCCAAAAAAGCTATTATCACTGATATTTTTTTTAAATTCTAATTCTAAAATTATTTAATCATCCAATTAAAAAAAAAGACAAAGTTCCTTAATACCTTAAATAATTTATATTTGGTGCTATTATTATAATCAAATTTTTTTTTTTTTTGAAATTATCTCATCGTTGTAAAACTTAAATTTTAAAATTTATAGTTTTTCTTTTTTTTAATCATACAAAGCTAAAAAAAAAGTTCAATAAATTGTCTTTCACATTTCTTTTTTGCGTTTTTTCTGTTTTATTTTTTTTTAAATTAAATTTTAAAAATATATTACAAAATATATATTAAGTTAATGAACGATTGTTAAAAGAAAAAATGAAAAATTTTAAAAGAAATTAGAGACTTAGAAGGGATTATTTGACTATAATTAATATCTAATGATAAGAAAATTGAAAGAGACAAAGCTTGAAAAGGACATTTTAAAATTTCTTACTTTAATATTAAAATCTTTTCCCTTCAATTCTTGTTTCTTTTTCTTTAATCTAGAAGTCTTCGCTTATAAATTATTGAAAATTTTATTAAAATTCTATCAATTATCAAAAATTTAAAAAACAAAAAAAGAAAAAACGAAATACTAATAAAAAAACTTTTTTCTATTACTTTAAATTAAACACTACAAAATTAGTATCATTAATGAGTTAAACTATTTTAAAATTAATTTCAAAAATCATTTCAATAATTTCAAAACATCACATCGAATAGTCAGTGATTTTCGTTTACTTTTATATTTACATATTTTTTAAAAATAAAGCATAGCATTTTTAATTTATTGCTATCGTTTTTAAAAAATAAATTATCAAATTAAAAATTTTTTATAATTTTTTTATTAAAATTAAATTAATAAAGAAAAATTTTGCAACAATTCGGTTTATGTTTTTAATTAATTGATATTTTCTTAAATATTAAACCACCGATTAATTTATCCTTCTTATTTTAAATATAAAAAAAATTTCGTCAGTCAATTCAAAAAAAAATTTTCCTGAATTTGAAAAAAAAATATGATAGCAAACATTCTCATTTTTTTTTTCTTTTAAAATCAAACAGATATAAGCTTAAATAAAAGCTTACTATCATATTTAGTTTTGAGATTAGAATTTTTTAATTTAAAATTTAATTTTTCAAGATTAAATTTAATGAATTAAAATGAATGCAATTACATCAGAAATGGTAATAATAAAATTTTGATTTAATTTTTTTCTTATATCTATAAAAATGAAAAATTGTTTGATTTTACTTAAAAATTTGATAAAATAATTTATTTCTAAATTAGTATTATTTCTATATTATACCCATAGGATCGGAATGAGAATCAATCAATTCCTGAAATAATCACAAATTCGGTTTTCCTGTAGAAATTTGTTCTTTTATAATAGAAATTTAATATAACTTTTTTTATTTTTCTTTCGAAGTCAAATTTTCAAATTTTCCTTTTCGCTAGAATAAATAACTCAAAAACAACTTAACAAATTGTTAGTTATATTTTAAAAAACAAAATTTTTTTTTATTTTATAAATATATTTTTTAAAAAAATGAAATATTTCTTATTTAAAATGAATAAATAAATTGCATATAAAAATTAATTAATTAATTTTATCATTTATAATTTATTCTCGTCATCTTTTTTTCTTCTTCTTTTTTCTCTTTTGAAAAAAAAAAAAAATTTTTCGAAATAAAATTTAATTGACTTGTTATTCGATTGTTGTTGTTGTTGTTGTTTATGAGAAAGAAATGAAATGTGCTTTGATCATATTATCAAACATTTTAATGAATTTAATTTTTTTATTGCTGCAACAATTTCTTTAATTTTATCTTTTTCTCTTCCTAATTGTTTTTTCAACTTTAAAATTTTGAAATTTCACTTTTTTTTTTTTTTTTTTTTTAAAGAAGATTTTTTCCTTAAATTTACATTGAAATTAGAATGATTTTTTGTGACAATGATTGAAATGAAAATTAAATTTTGTTACATCCAAAAAAAAAAAAAACAATTGC